CGTTACCGGAAATTTCACGCTCACCACCTTTCCAGGCCGCCACTACACAAGCTCACCATGAACAGTACGCACGAGCACACAATCCCCGACAGAAGACTTCCTGGACTTGCTCCTGCAGTTATTTGCGCTGCGCACTTACCAAACGGACTTAGTTTTGACTGTAGATGGCTTCCATGTCTGGTTTGAGCAAAGATAGTCTTGTGCGCAACTTTCTCTTAAAAAACAACTCTGCTGGTGCTTTAGCAGTTAACGTGTGTGGCATAGTTCTGCACACGAAAACGAAGCTATCAACTTTGCGTTGCAAGGATCTAGAACTTTGGCTCAATTTATCCTCTAGCAGCTGCTTCAGCAACGACTGTTAAACAGTCTGCACTGCTCGTTCTGCTGCCCCGTTTGGTTGAGGATGATAAGGTAGAGTCAGATTATGCTTAACGCTGTTCGCATGCAATAAATCTTCGAACTCTTTTGCTTGAAGCCGTCGCCTATTGTCCGTAACTATCTCAAGAGCACAGTGACAACAATGACATGCTAGGGACGTCCACAGGACCCCCCTAACTGGATATCGGATATCCACTGCATTTCCAAAACAACAGCAGAGCCACCCGTGCCTGCAGACATGCGCCTGTAATGTCTAATTGATGTCTCAGTATAAAATTGACATTGTATGCAGCCAAACTGAGGACATTAAAAAAAAAAAACGAACAGAGTACAGTGTTACTCTGCTTAAACTACCTGTTTAATTAAAATAATTATGCTATTGCCAGCTACGTTTGGCAGTAGCATTGAAGTTGCACTACCTAGAGAATCACCTTATTTAACTGGCCATGAAAACCATGAAAAATTTTCAGAAAAACTGTATTTGAACCCATCACCATTGCCAAAATCTTGTTTCATAAATATTTTGCAGAAAGTATAGGCTTTCGTTTTATTAGTGGCACTGCAACATAGATTTAGTGGAAACAAGAACACGATTGGATGTCACTTGACAAAAATATTACCCTCATTATCTACGTTCTCACAAAGTTATCTTTACTGAAAACATGTCTTTGACCCATGAATAATGCTTAAACCTAATGTTAATCGCACAAAATAAAGTACTCTTGAAAGTCTCTGTGTCCACAAAATTATCACATTTTCTCGAGCATCATCCAAGGCTCAACTACTATGTACAATCTGCTGCACGTATCAGTGCCATTCGATGACAAGGACCTCAACTCGTCATTGCAAATGCAGAAACAGGTAAGCCATTATTCAATCTAGACGGTTACTTTTGATTTCGGCAAGTAGGAGCAGGAGGAACTTTATTTCAAAGAGAGAGCCGACAGCAAAATTGTCTAAGTTGGGCAGCGTCCCCATTCCTACTTCAATACATACTCTAGTTGCCCGACTGTGAGAGACTTCACACCACAACGACATAGTCGTGGAAAAACTTACTTTGCAAACAGAGAAATCATCTATCCCAAATGAAGCATGAATTCTCATTGCCATAGTGAGTGTGTCCCCACAGAGAAGCCAAAACGTCAACATTCAACAACCAAGGAACCAGTAACATTACTCGAGCATTTAGAGTGCCACAATTCACAGCCAGATTCACGAGTTTCAAAGTGCCAATAGAAGATAGCTGCACCGAAATTCTTTATCAGCCTGATAAAAAAGATTACAGACACCATGACTAGTTTTCACCTACTCACAAAAATGAGTAATGTGTTCCAGATCTGAGTGTTGACACACCTTAATGAGAAATGAATCTATATGATAAACAAATACAATGAATCCAGCAGGGTGCTGTCAAAAGATACCACTTAAGGGGGTACATGGCTCTGAAAAACCAACCTTCATATAACCAAACAGATGTTGAAGATTAGTAAAAATACTCAAAAAGTCTCCCTGATATCTCCATAAACGTTTTTCAGCACTTTCAGAATTTCTTATTAAAGTTTTACTTTTTTTGCATTTTTTTGCACTTCAATGCCTGTGGAGTTTTCAAAATGCACAGGAAGGCGAGTTGCATATTTACTGCAAAGCTAAATACAAGCTAGATATTATGGCATTCCCACTTTCTTTAGTTGTTTTTTCACAATGTGAAATTCACGCATTGTGTTTTTTATGCTACCTTCACATTCGGAACACTCTTAGGAAGAATGAATAGGCATGCCATGAAAATAGAGATAAACCACAAAAGCACAAATGCCATGATTTTGCAATCTAAGAAACATGACAAAGGTAGTAAAGTATAAATAAGCTAACGGTAACAAAGAAACTGGCTGTGCAGGCTTGGCGGGCAGGCATAAAACCACTTCTGTAGAACTGTCTCTTGAAGTTTCTCTTTTCCTCTACTCATCTGGAATACAACAGAATTGTAGTTTGTGATGTCCTTAGTGATGCGTGGCCTCTTGGCATTCAATGCTTGCTCTGGTGCTCTTTTGACTCATCTTTTGCATATGGCATCCCTCCATGCGCTTTTTGAACAGAATGCTTTTCAGGCTCCAACCCAAGTGACATAAAAAATGCCCAATACACATGACGACTTCCAAAATTGTACTTGCAGACCACCCCTTGACAGCCAGCAACAATCAGTGAAGTGTTTTGCTCTTTCGGAAGAATCGATTAAATTGAACGAGCTCCCGAGAGGATTGTAGTTTGTTTTTGTTTTTTTGTCTCGACGATTGCCGAGTAGCTGAGGGTCAGAAGGGCATTGATAGACTGGTAACAATGCTGCCACAAAACATGTTCTGCCCTTTTATACTTGAATAGTGGTTGAGCTTTCACGCTTCGCTGTACAAGGCAGTGGCATGTTGCAAGCTTCCCGTTTGGGCCTTCAGGTGTTCCCCCCATCGAAGAGGCAATCAAAATGCAATCTCAGCTTTTTGATAATTTTATTTGTAAGACTTGAGAATGGTATGCATAAAATCTGTTTCTCATTTATTGTTAGGCCTTGCAAAGCACTAATAGTGCGAACTCGTAGAACGTTGAAGAGTGACACACTTTACGTGGCAGCGTGAACCAGAAAGTAAACAGCCAGGCCGCACTGCTCGTGAATGGCAAGCGGATATGTTGATATCAAGTACAGAAAGTTTGCCGAATACTGTCAACGAGCTGTTGCAAAATCTTGAGCTACCGAAGTGCAGGGACGTTAGCGGTGCACCTTTACTTATACCAGCAAAAGTGTCGTGCAGTTGGATGTATATATCAGCCAACTCTGGACAGCTTCTGATCTCCGGACATCTGCATAGGGGCTATGCGTAGTAAGTACCTTGTTTGCACATGAACGCTGATGCATGAGTATGGTTCACTGCTTTACATGCTAAAACGTTATTTACGTGGCCTTCATGTTATGTGACCATCGATCGTTTGACTCGCAATAAAATGATTTATTGCTGAAAGTTTGTGTAATCAGCGTTGTCATTTCGCTCGGCCTTATGCGGCATCACAACTTACTAAAGCAATTATGCATGATACTAGTGAGCTTATAGTAAGTAGTTTACTGTAATGTACTACATGAAAACGAGAGAGAGGGCTGCTTCAGCGAGTGAGGAACAGCCATGACGCAGAAGCAGATGACAGCTGTATCGTCTGCTATGAGAAATACCGGCCGCCATATCAAACGCCCTTGTGCTTTCGAAAACTATTTCATTTTATTTGCAGCTATAGATTATACAACCAATATTCTTAGTTGTTTTTGTTCGAGTCATTTGAGAGTAAAAGGTAATAGAAACTTCTTCAGCTTTAAGTAAAATGATAATTTTCCTATCTTTTTACAACTGCTGCCAGAATCCAGATGGCGATATCATGGTGTCCGACTTTCGTCCCCTTCGGCCCTATGGGCATGTCACTTCCTTGATACCTGCACCAGCTCGGAATCCAGGAGGAAAGAATTCATGATGCAGCTCTTGAAATCTATCTAAATTATAAAATGCTGCCACTATGGCCCTCCTTTTCATATCATCAACCTTACTGTTTTCATAAAAAGCCATACCATAATAGTCAGTCTTTTTGGGGTCATGAGTTGCGCCCCCTTCTCCTCTAATCAGTGAACTATTTTTTTTTTCCGATACGAGTGCGTACAGAACTTCAACTATCCTTTGTTTATATGACTTATGCAGTCTCTTTAAGCCAATGGAATAAAGCAGTACGTTTTCTCTTCAGAAAGGGTTAGTCATGTCCGACTGTCTTCATCCGAAACAATAAATTTTTGATAATAAATGTTTCATCGAGGTCATTGCTTACCAGCAACCTTCAGAACAAAATTAATGTTGCCTATGTTTTCATTTGGCTTTTGAATTTATCTCATTTTACTTGACTAACTTAGGCCTCCTTCAGTAAAACTTCATTTGGGCCTAGTCAGTACATATCTGAATTGAAATTACCAGTGCAAACACAGAACATGCCCTACAAAGAAAAGAAGTGACACACCTGGGCGCCGTTTTTTTTTTTTGGGGGGGGGGGGGGGGGGGCGTGTTGTGTGTTAGGGAAATGAAAGTTTGTGTTATGAGCGTTGTCATTTCACTCAGCCTGTATGCAGCATCGCAGCTTACTAAAGCAAGTGTGCAAGATACTTGTGAGCTCCTAGTAAGTAGTTTACTACAATGTACTACATGAAAGCTGGTACTTCAGTGAAAGCTGAAGCTGGTACTTCAGCATTTGCGATGATAAATTTGATTTAGGCCTCCTTATGTGGGAGCTTTGTCAAGCTGCATAAAAGCAGCTTTTTCTCTCGCTCCTCATGATCTGTGTTGCCCATGAAATAAGCATTTATCTACCTATCCTTAAAATCCTTAAAGCCTTCATCATTTTCTTTTGGCCCGAGTGTACGTCAATGGTATCTATTGGAAAGGACAATGCATTCAAGCACTAAGCTGTAGCAGAAGTCAAGTAATATCCCTAGACAAATGTTAGATGCATGAGCAAGTATCAGCCACATCCATATGTGGACAAGCATTGGCTGATAAACATCTGTTCTAGGAACAATCACACCACTGCTGACTGATGCAAAAACAAGCTTAAAAGCTGCAGGTGATTTTAATTAGCTTTGCACAAAAAAGCTCACATTTTATATATACTTTTTCGCACAGAGTGCTGGCGCCTTCTCTCATGGCTTTTTTATCATCTTGCATGCTGCAATGGTTTCCGCACCTCTCATTACTTGCTTGAGACTGCGGTCTGTTTATGCAAGTGAGCTTTCATTGAGCTGGTACTTCAGTGGATGATTAATCCTTCTGAAAATGATTCTTGCTTGGCAGATTCCCAGGAACTTTGGTTTTCATATTGTTGAGGTTTTTACTCGCCAGAACTTAAAGGTTGTGGAACAGTCCCAGTCAACTGCGAGAAAAGAAACCGAGTCTTATGTCATAATTTAAAATCACAAAGCAGTGCAGCAGCTAAAATGTGACAAAATATGTAAATGTGATAGGCAAGCATCTGTACTACAAATCAAGAACTAGGTGGTTCATGCATTTTCTAGAGATACCACATAAATAATACTCAGCAGAAAGATAACCACTGATACTTTGTCCATTCAAACATGACTACAAAAAAGTCACACTTACATGAAAATGCCATAAGTTCTGTTATTATTGTCATATCTCAAATTATTTATGGGTATCTAATCTTCCCCTTGTGATATTGGCATAAACAAAATAACTTTATTATATATGTATACAATCCACAATGTTAAACTCTACAGCCAAGTTGTTAAACTAAGGTGCTAGTCAAGCGTAACAGCTAGAAAAGTAGTCACAGTTTGGAATGTGCAACTGCCAAAGCTACTGCAAGACACCCATTGCACTTTCAGTTTTTTTAGTGGAATTACGAATCAAGGGAACAGTTGACAGAGATTCCAACTTTTTGGGTATCTATAAATACTTGAGTTCCCTGTAAAAGTCTACAATGAACTCTTCTTGCCTTCAATTTGTTCTGTTGCTGAGCTGCGCGGACAGCATCAAACACTGTTGGGAAGAACCCATCCGAGCCAAAAACATTGATGGCTTCTGCCCGGCACAGCAGATTAAAAACTGAATCTGAAATAAAACGCATAGATCAAAGGAAGTTTGTCACAATGCCATTAAAGCACTCTAAAGTATGAATCACAAATAATGCACTGCAGTGTTAACTACTCTTAATTCAAGTGACTACAAAAAACAACACAAGCAGTTTAATTCTCAAGCTGCACTATTTTAAATGATCGTGAGGTTGCTATAAAAAAGTCAAAATTTGTGTACTGCTAAAATACCCAAAAGTGCAAGTTTTTCTTTGAGAACAAGATTTTCTTGAACACACTATATTACAATAGTTTGAAAGCATCAGGTGTGTGATCATCTGTTACGCAAGTGAACATTTTTTAATGTTTGTCCATCTGGTAGTACTTACATTAATAAGGCGTTACTTAACACTAACACTTATGCACCTCAGAATGATACAAAGATTAAAATGGTAGAGTGTAGCCTACATATAAGAGGATATCTATGTTTACTGGCACTTACTGGAACAAGCAGCAATAAACAGTCTCACATTGATGGACTCGTACTGAGCTTTCAGCTGGAATGAGAAGGGGTAAAACATAATTTATCTAAAATGAATAAAGACATAACAATGTATTAAGCAATATCAAATTCTTTTTTATTGGATCGTTGTGAACTGGAACATTGTTAATTTCACATCCAGTTTTCTTTTGCTACACAAATAATTGCCTATTTACAAGCATCAGCAGCATGATTTACAGCAAACGGCTGAGAATCCTGAGCTGAGAAACAGCTGAGCCGCTACAAAGTCACAAATGCCAGCTACGAATATTGTGCAATAAAAAACTATTTTCAAAGCTTATTTGAGTGTCTGATTCACATCAATAAGTATAATATGTATTTTATGTGTCTAGTTTAGGGTCATCGTTTCTTAGTGTAATGTAGCACCCAGACTGCTTTCTCGGCCAGATTTTTCCTACATGCTGGATAAATCAGATCTACTAACATTGGCACCATCCATTGAATTCACATAAAGGGAAATGATAACACTTCATCAATAAGCAAAATCATTTGCAGTTTCATTTGTCTAAGATGCACATCTTTGTTGCTTCAACCCTACAGTGGAATGCCCATTCACAGCATCACTACAGAACACACTTTTCAAATTATGTACACTCGATTCCGGATATATCAAACTCGAAGGGGATTGCAAAACAGTTCGATATATCGATAATTAAAAATATGAAATATGGCTATTTAAGGCCTAAATTGCAGCATTTCGGGCCTCTGAAATCATTAAAGTCCTAACATAATGATTCTCTCACAGCATAATGAAAAACAAGATGTGTACTACAAGTTACCGCACTTTATATCACATAAAAAATAGTCCGTAAACTTGTTTTTCTTCTTGGGCCCTGTCAAGTTCCAGTCATCCTCAATATTATTGAAGCTTTTCAAATAATTCAATTCAGCCCCTACGGCCACTACAGCGTTGATTGACGCAGAATGCTGATGCAAGCATTGTAGCGCCGTGTCACACACTTTGGGTGAGGCCCCGCCGATCTAACATCAATGTGCGGCAGACTCGCAGGCTTCCACTTTACGCATTGGCCTGCGACGCCTGAAAGGCCTCGAAGTGGCACATCTCAAATTTATTTGCAGGTCGGTTGACACGTGCGGGGTTGCACGTGTGGTGATGTATGAGCCTGACTGATCTACCCATAGAGCACATGGACATTTCATTAAACACAAACAAGCATTTGATTAAAACAAGGGCAATAGGCAGAAGATTACAAAAAAAATAACAGAGGAAGAACACTGATATGTGATAACAAAGAACGGCTAGAAAACAAATTATGCTCTAAAAGAAGACATTACCAACAAAAGACAAATATGCAGAATGTTGATAAAATAACAAGACGAAAATCAAAAAGAGATACAAAAAATTGATAACGAAAGAACCGTGCTCGTGCTTCGGAATTTCTACGTGCAACGCAGCGCACACAACTGCAATTATTGAAAAGCTGGTTATAGTAAACTAACAGTTTTAAAAAAAGTCACAATAGAAAGTTCCATACGGACCAGGCCAGCTCTTGGTACACGTAGGGGAGTTGATGGGTCTTTTGAAAAACACTTAGTCCGTGCTTTAAGACTTGCAGATCGCGCCTAAAACATACCAGTGCACTCATAAGTGCCGTGCAACAAACCAGATGAGCAAGATAGAATAAAACCATCTTTTCTTCACCTTCATGCGAAAATAGATCAGACCTTGTTAGAACACAGCCAAATATTGATCAATGTATGCTAGGAAAAATTCCCTTTCTCAGCATCACGTGTAGCGCAGCGTTCAATATAGTGGATGTCTCGGGTGCACCGGTCCAATACGTTTGAAGGAGAAATTTAAAGGGATTTCTTAACTGTTCAATATAGCCAATAATTCAATAAATCTGAGTTTTATATATCAGGAATCGACTGTATTGAGTAGCAAAAGCAAATTTCAGTATTTTTCCTTACAGAAAACTTGTATTTTTTTTTAACGGCCCCATCTTCAACTGCTATAGTTGGCCAGGTTGCATGATCACAGCATGTCTTTTATGTAAACTTATTAGAGCTACAGATGAATACAAGAAACAAAACACACTATGTTCTACAGATGCATGGACGGATGTACAGATAAACGCACGGATGGAATGACAGACGGACGGACGCATGAATTAATGCATTAACGGACGGAGATATAAACAGACGCACGGATGAATGCACAGACGGGCGCATAGATGGATGGACACACGGACGGACGGAAGCAAGAACAAACGGACAGCCGAGAGCATGGACGGACTGATGGACGCTTCGCCCCGCTCATCATCATTCCCTCCGTGCATATGCAGTGATTTTTTTTTTTTTGTAATAGGTAGCTTGTGACCTTCTTATTACGGCTGGAAACCTCGTTTATACGAGTCATATAGGTAGTTAATATGCTGACTCTAGAGGAAAAGCTCCCTATAGGACCCGTGCATTAAAAACCTATAACCACTCGGGTTCTGCTATGATGGAACAGTACTCAGCTTTCGGGTGACGTTCACTCGCACTCGCCACAGCTTGCTGCTATATTTCCTGGTAATTTTTCTGTTTCGTGGATCTCTCTTACATCGCAGGAAGAGACCGTCGCATGAAGTTGAGTTTTTGGCAAATGGCAACAAAAAACAGGATGACGAGGCACTATATACGACTCACTCAGCACGCAGCACCGCCGCGCCGGCCACGCTTTCAAGTTACAAGGATCGTGGCAACATTTACTAAATAAAACTGATTGATTTGTGGGGTTTAACGTCCCAAAACCACCATTTGATTATGAGAGACGCCGTAGTGGAGGGCTCCGGAAATTTTGACCACCTGGGGTTCTTTAACGTGCACCCAAATCTGAGTACACGGGCCTACAACATTTCCGCCTCCATCGGAAATGCAGCCGCCGCAGCCGGGAATCGAACCCGCGACCTGCGGGTCAGCAGCCGAGTACCTTAGCCACTAGACCACCGCGGCGGGGCTACTAAATAAAACTACAAACACTTTATTCCACCAGCAGTGAATTGCATAAATGGCCATATATTTCATAAAAGTAGCTGGTATAAATCTCATGCAATTTTAGTTCGTTTGTAACAAGTGAGAATGCTTGTTTATTATTTCTACTGCTGAAACTTCAATGTTTTAAACGCCTAAATTTACTGCTTCTTTAAAGTATTTTGATGGCAACATTGACAACATTCCAAGATGTCATCGCTTTGGTGGTTATAGCTTTTCCAGCCCAGCTTTTTCTCTAGAGTCAGTTGTATTAAGTTTATGAGACGAGTGGGTAATGCTTATTTATTTAGAGACGTTTTTAGAATGCACAATCGCAGTTTCCATTTCAAAAACACCAAGCTGGGTAGAAGCAGTTCCGGTAGCAAGGTAAATATAGCTGGCCCCGTGACTACGCAAAACTGTGACAAGGTGGTGTGCACGATAGTATGCACAAGTGAGCGCTGCACAGACAGCCAGCACAGCCAACACACAAAGCCGCAGGCACGAAGGAAGAAATCGCAGGTAGTGCAAGGGGCTTGCCATCAACCAGCCAACACAAATTCGTGGTGTAGGTTTGTTTACACTCCTGCTGCATTGATGTCGGTGTTGCAAGGGGTCGGCATCTCTCTCAGTTGCACGGCACACACTTTAAAATTGATTTTAAATATGTTGTCACAGAACGAGCGCTAAAAATGGGCGCGCCGCCAAATTCTTGCGATAACGGGCGGGAGAAACGCTGCGAGGTCAAAAGAAAAAAAAAACAAACATCCAAGGCTCCCCGGGCGCGCGCTCTCCCCGCGGAAGCGTAGCTTCGCCGACGAACCTCCTCACCCCACAGCGGCGGCCGGGCAAGCACTGGAAAGTTCCAGAAGGAAATAGGCGTGGTCATACCGAGTTGAGTCATCTGTCGGGAACGGCCCCGTACAGTCTCGCGCCTCTCCCCAGCCTTCGCTGCGTATCGCGCCGACGAAATGACGAGAACTTTCTGGAATGTGGCGCGGAAGGTATTTAATCGAGCGGCCGAGAAGAGAGAGCAGGAGAAGACGGAAGTAGCGCCAGAGTGCGTAGGGATTCCGCCGTGTAGTCGGCGAAGGTTTTGTCCGTAGGGATGAAGCAGGAGATGAAAAGGATTTCCACCTGAGGGGTGAAGGCTCGAGTTACAGGCAAGAGCGTGTGTCTACCGCTATCGAGCGAAGACGCGTGGCAAGAGCTGCGGGTGTGAAGCCGACGTGTTTCCGGCGAAGAAGTTTGAAGCTTGGAGAGTGGCCAAGTGAAGACGTGAGGTTTCCTGGAAGAGAAACTTCGGCGAGGTATCCTGGAAGAGATACTTCGGAGGGCTGCGGAACGACAACAACGCTGGACTTTGAGTGAGTGATTCTCGGAAGAGTATCATCCAGACTTTTGTTCCAAGAACTTTGGGCTGGATAGGTTTTCTATCTCTTTCGTCTTTAAGTGTCTTGGTTGTTCAATGCATGCGACTGCATTGTAGTGTGTATCGTTGTCTGTGTCCGTTGTTTTGAGTGTGGCTGATTGTACTGTGTAGTACGTTGTTTGATTGGTGACGTATTGTATGTAACTATTGTGGAGTGTGCATTTTTGTGTATTGTTTTCGATCTGCCATTATTGAGAATATAATTTGTTTGTTTATCAACTCTCGGCTCTGACTTGTTCTTTGGGCCACAGCCGGCGTCCGCTGGCGCGCCAAAAAGGACCACTTCCAAATTGTCCACGCTTTCGTGGTGCGGTTCGGGGGGCCAATACTTCGGCCCTTGGAATTAGCCCGGCGATCGCCTCCCGAATTAACGGGACCGGTGTGACATATGTTCTAAGCTATATTTGCCCTTAACATTTCACAGACGTGTATGTCTCTAGATAGTCTATTTTTACTAACTTTCTCGCCCTCAAAATTTTGTGTCAGTGCTCCTTTAACAATGCTCCATGCATCCTCACCTGCTTAAGCAAACCAATACTTGTGCCATCCACAAAGGAGACACGTGAGAAGTCCAAGATAATGTGGGATGGTACGACTAACGTATCAGTCGCACTGCCATTGGGTCTAAGCGTACTCCCATCAGCTGCTGAACTGTGGTCGAACGGTATCTTCCGCTCACTACTAGACACTGGAATGTCCTGAAATACAAATGCAATGCAGCAAAGAATAAGAGCACACAGGTACAAAGACTTTACTGAGACCACGCCCAATAACCCTGAACGACAGTTTGATTGTTTTCAGGTGATTAGAGATGCTAAGCTTCACCAAATGCCTCTGCTGTTTATAAAAGGCAATATGAGGGCTTCAGCACAGAATGATACACCACGACCAGCATCAAAACATTTTCCCTAACATGAAAACATGACAACTTTTATCTAATTATGCGAGAGTCCGAGTTGAAAAACATTTTACATCTTCCTGTGCTTTAGGTAGACCGAAGTAGTAATGAGTTTTACAACTGTATGAGTATTAAAATGTTTCTATACAAAGAATCTCGGTGATGCGTATAAACCTTATGGGGGGTTGAAAATATTGGTATCATACAAAATTTTAGCTCACCAAAAATCTATATACACAAAAAACATTTACTGCCACAAAAAAAAAACTCTTGTGCGCGTTTTTGCGATACTCATGAAGAAATTATAGAGAGTTCTAGAATAGTGTATGCACAAAGTTTTGCGTTAACGTTTGCCGTCACTTCGAACATGTACGCTATTCTACTGCAGTTCCCCATCAAGTGGATTGAAATAGCGTGCGTACACAACGAACACTGTCTTTGCAAACCCTATTCCAAAGCTACGCAGTTCTAGAACAGCGTACACAAAGAATGGGCTCGTTATGGTCCCCCACTATTTTCAACACTGGGTTACTGCAGTAGTATAATATAAAGACGCACTCGCAGTGATGACAAACACTAACACAAAACTCTGCGTATACTTTTCTAAAACTCCCTACCACCTAATAAGCAACCGTGCCGTTGGCTGCCATGAACATATGCACCAAAGCATCACTTGAGGCAAACTAAAAACTAAGAGGCAAAGTCTGCTCCACTATGGACTTGAGCAAATGACAGGAATGCCGAAATGCTTAGTGCTCTTTGACAACATTATCACCTTTAATCTCTCGCTCTGCTAACCGTGCACTTTCACAGCGGCATGGTCATGCTGATAATGGACACAGTTTCGTGCACAGCGCCTGCGGTAAATGGTAGCTCTGTTTTCAACCCGTGTGCACTGGCCGAAAACAAAATGTGAAGGAGAAAGCATTTCTGCATAGTGGACTACAATCAGGATACAGGGGTTGCCAAAATTTCTTATCTGCATTCGTAGAAAACAAGTGTAAATTTGAGGGCTCATTTTCTTTGTTAAACACAATATAGGCTGTGGGTAATATGACAGGAGCGAAGGCAGACGCCACAAAGCACCTTTACCACCTGGGCCCCAGCAGAAGGCCCGATGCCGGAGGAGTAAACTGATGGGAGCGCGAGCCTGAAGCGTGGAATCGCTAGCCCATCAAGCTCTGCAGATGGTGATGACCTTCTAGCGATCTGGAGCGAAGCAGCTTTTGGACAATGCAGACGGAGCTGCCTGGCATGTGTGCCCTGCTCTGCAATTATTCACGGAAGCGCGCCTTTCTTTTTAAATGACGGTGCTGCCGTCACTGTTCGACTGCCGCTATGCTGACTGACAACCTGGCACGTCGGAACTCGTCACACTACATACACTGCCGTCCCTGCATACCGCCTTGGGATCCTGCTCCGGCATGGCCACTGGACGCTCACGTCTCATACTTCTTCAGGTTGGTTTTTCCTATCGCCTTGTTAACGGTAAACCATTTCAAAAATTGGCGCTTGATCCCAATTCTGTCTTGAATTTCTGAACGCGCATTTTTATCGTAAGAATCAAGTGCTTGTTAAGTATGCAATATCTGCGAAAACTACTGCAGCTTGCAGGGGATGTGGAATAAAACCCAGAACCCCTGACTCCTGAGTGAGAAATTCTATTTTTACTGATGCTATGGTGATTCCTTCAGTGCTACAAAAACGACGGAAATTCTCGGGGAACTTCGTTCCGTAGCGTCATGGCAAGAAGCGCTTGAGAAAAAGTTTTTGCATATAGAGGGCAAATTGACTGCCTTTGAGGACAAATTGTTATCGGTGCTTCGACTAAAAGATGAAGTGAGGCAGTTACCCATGCAGACCGACAATCTTGCTGCCAGTTTTTCAAAGCTGCAGGAATTGAAAGATGATATGAAAAATAGACCTCGAAAAAACAACCTTATCTTTTTTGGCCTTCAAGATGCAGCCGGTGAAACCTGGCAAGATTTGGAAACCAAGGTGCTTGCTTTTTGCAGGGAAAAATTGAAAGTATCAATTTCATCTGATTCTGTTGAGAGGGCTCACAAGCTCAGTCGCTTAACGACAAAAAACAGGCCTATTATACATAGCTCAGTTTCTTTCGTTTAAGGAAAATCAGCGCATTTTGTCAGCTACTTCGCAGCTGAAGGGTATAAAAGCTTTGCTATCAGCGAGGACTATAGGAACAAATTTCGACTAGAGAGGCGAAAATTGATTCAATAGGCTAAGAGTAGGGGAGGCGACTTCAGGCTATCTTATAACAAACTTAATATTGGAAAACAAACTTTTGTTTATAATGCTGAGACCGACAGCATAAATAAAATGAAGTTATAGCAATTAAAAAAGGCCCCCCTAACTTCTAGGCATCCATGCAGCCCAGATTACATCGTTTGTATTGTTGTGAATCGTCATAGTTTAAAAAACCAAATAATTGAACTTGAGCCCTCATAGAAATGAAAAAACCTCATGTAGTACTTGGGTATGAGTCTTGGTTAGACCACACAATAAATGACAATGAAATTTTTCCAACTAGCTACACTGTCTACAGAAGGGACAGGAGCGTGCATGAGGGAGGTGTTTTCGTTCTGATTCACAATACCATATCTAGTTCACTCATTGACGTTGAAGCTGACTGAACCAAAATTGTTTGCTGCAATGTAATCTTAAACAATGGCTCGTCCATAGCTTTCGTTTCCTTCTACAAATCACACAGCTCTAGAACCTTCCAGCCCCTTTTTAGTTAAAACAATGTGCTGCTAAACTTACAAGTAACCTGCATTGTTTTGGCAGGTGATTTTAATCTGCCAGATGTGACATCATGACACCTTACCCTAGCGTTGGGCAATTCATTCTTCCTTTACATGAGCTTCCCGCGAAACGATAAATGCTCACTCGTTGTTTCAGTTTTTTACAAAAACCAATGCGGGTTATGGCTAGCAGTGCAAGTGTACTTGATTATTTTTTTTTGCATTGTACTTTATCTTGTGTCTTCTGTCACCTCCATCCCTAGTATTAGCAATCATGATGCTGTCGTCGCTAAGATGTCCTGCATCACTAAGAATCATCGCGCTGCGCAGCTTCGCAAGGTCTTTTTTTATGAAAAAGGCAATTACACATCAATATCATGTGAACTAGACACTTTTTTACCACAGTTCGTAGCTAGCAGTTCATGCCTAGAAACAAATGTATTATGAGATCTTTTTAAAACTAAAATATTGTCCTTAACAAAAACATACATCTCCTCGCGTCTCATTACTTTCCAGCGCCAAAGCAACAAACCGTGGATTACCAAAGAAATCCATACGTTGATAAACAGAAAAAATAAGAGTCTTTCGTAAGCATTGCCGCTCCCCGAATCCTTCATTGTACGTAAAGATAAAGGAAATGAGCAAAACAATCACGAGGTTGATGCGTAGTGCACACAAGTTCCTTTGCACTCTTGGAGACAGAGTTAAAACTAATCCAAAGAAAATGTGGAAATATGTCAAGAGCAAAAGGAACTCCTGTGACGCTATCCCTGACTTCATGGATGAAAAAATCTACGGCTCGGATATCATAAGGAAAGCAGTGGTCTTCAGTGCTTATTTTCATTCTGTGTTTTCACGGCCAAAAGGCATTGTTCCTAAATCGCATGACGTCAGATAGCACACAGAGATGAGGGAAATTGAACTATCTGAAGATGGTATTGCATTACTGCTACGGAAGATTAACACCCACTTGGCTACTGGTCCTGGCTCTATTTCAAATTACGTTATAAAAACTGTGCATTATCTGTCACCCCTTTCCTAACACTGTTATTTAATATATCCATTCAAGTAGATGCTCCACCTTCAGACTGGAAAACTGCAAATGTTATTCCAATTCACAAAAATGGTTTAAAAACAATAATATGCAACGATAGGCCAATTTCACTCACAAGCATTGCTTGCAAAACATTAGAACATGTATTTATAAGAATTTAATGGCACACCTTCAAGAAAATAGCTTCGTCATTGCGACGCAATATGGCTTCAGGGCTGGTTTTTCTTGTAACACTCAGCTAATATAATTCTGTCATGACCATTGCAACGTTTAATAACTCTGGTTTGCAGGTTGACTGCATATTTTTGGACTTTCGAAAAGCACTTGATACCGTATCCCATACCCTGTTGCTACAAAAGTTGACCAGTCTCAATTTGCTGAATACCCTCCAGAAGTGGTTAGAAGCGTACCTGCTAGATAGAAACCAACAAGTAATGCTAGGAGGTGTTTGCTCTTCTAATTTTTCAGTTTTATCAGGTGTGCCATAAGGGTCCATTTTAGGGTCTCTGCTTTTTCTAATATACATCAATGATCTAACTGAATTTGCCGTGTGAGGCTTATATGCAGATGATTGCTGTATATATACCGTGAAATTTCAAGTGATTCAGACAGTGAACAGCTACAAAATAATCTCAACACAGTCATGTCTTGGTGTTCAACTAGGGACATGACACTCAACTTGTCCAAATGCAACCTCTTAAGATTTACGAACGAAAGGCACCCCCTGATGGCAAGCTATGTCATGAATACAACACAGCTGTGCCTAGGGACAGAGTACAAGTATCTAGGAGTCATTTTTTTTTCAGCAATATGACTTGGAATGTGCACATTGATTATATCGTAAGAAAGGCCAGCAACACATTAAACTTCTTGCAACGTAACTTTAAACAAGCACCGGCCAGCCTGAAAGAAGCCCCCTATATCTTGAATGTACTCCCACTTTTGGAGTACGAGTGTAGCACTTGGGACTCTTATACTAAGGGGAACATCGACGCTCTAGAGCCTGTGCAGCTGAGAGCAGCTCGTTTTGTCACAGGTGATTATGACTTTTGTAAAAGATCTTTAGAAATAAGGAATACTTTAAAATGGCCCCTCCTTAAAGACAGACGCAAGTTCTTACGTTTATATTTGTTTCACAAAACATTCCATGGTTTTAACTGGTATTCACAAAGAAAACTACATACTGAAGCCTGCGTATATATTTGCTTGCACTGACCACCCTCTTAATGTGCGCGAGTTCACCGCCAGAATTAACATTTTTAAATATTCACTTTTTTTGCGATCCATACAGCAGTGGAAAAAACTACCTTAAGGAATTGTAACCTCATTCACAAAAATATTCAGCACCGCGTTTCAAGACCACATTTTTTTGTAGCCTGAATATACTTAAAACCTCGTTAATTCAAACTTGGTTATTTCGAAATCCCGCTTAATTCCAAAGATTTCCACGGTACCGTATTTTGCAATGTAAGTTTGAGTGGATAATTTGAAGCGGCGGCCAGCACCAGTCCGGTTAATTCGATAACTTTGCGTGCCATGTGCCAGTTCCAGATCCCGATTTAGCCGTGAATCTGCAAAACAACGGCTATTAAGAGCCACAAGGCAATGCAATGTATAGATGCTAACGAGTGGCAGCTGAAGCACACCAGCCTCGCTACCTCCAGTGCAAAAAAAAAAGGAATAAAAAACTACAGTCCCGTGGTCAACCAAAACGTGCGCCTGCGGAAAACGAGCTGTGCTTCACTGCAACACAGCATGAACACGCGGGCAGCTTATTGCATGTTTCTCGCAACGTGAGCGAGTCATGGTTTACCCATTCTTTCTGGAATTGTAAAGAAATTAATAAAAACAGTTTAGCGAAAATCGCGATGTGTGCGAACCTTCGATTGCCGGTTGCTCCAGCAATTCGCGTCTTTGCACTGCTGGCGGAGTTCTTGCCAGCAACACCTGCTTCGAAAACTAAATTCAAAAGTTTTAAAGATCATATTTTTCCAGCCAAAACACATTGTGAGCTTCGTCATACTAGCCATTATTAAGTTCATAATTTTAATAAAAAGAACGTGCGAATGCTTGCGTCATGACATGCTTAGAAGCGAGGAGCAGGCGACATGCTGCCCGCATGTCAGTACCGTATTGCAGTGAAGATGTCTTGTTTTCTGCAGATGAACATTTTAGTCAATTACAACCACTTTTTTTTTTTTTTTTTTTTCAGTGGTAGCAGCTAGGCCCACTGTTCCTCCATGTTCGCGGCAAAATAAAGACCAGATATTGCTGGGAAGCATCACCTTCGAGAGCCACAAGCTAGCCAGCACAGCAAACGACGAGCACTGCTTACTTTGAATAGATCTAAGTTCCTTGCATCTCACTTCTTACATGTGCTGTTAATTAAAAAACCCACTTAATTCAAAGCTTTCTCGCCGCCCCAGTGACTTCAAATAACGAGGTTTTAATCTACCTTCGTTTGTTCTTTTTAGCAGTCTCCACTTAAATTTGTTTTTATTTTTTTTCTTACTTTTTGTGATCTTTTTGCGATCTCTGCCTGTATAGATGTGTGTGTCTCTGCCTGTATAGATGTGTGTGTATATATGTGTTTATTATATTTAAACATACTTCACTGTGTATATTCTGATATTTACGTGTTACCATTGCATGCTTTATTATGTAGCTTTATTTCTTTTATGTACAGCACAGTGTTAATGGCTTGTCGGCAATCTGCTTTTTTTTCTCTTTATTGTTTTGAAATGTATAACTTTTTTTAATCTTTTTTTTAATATATATTTAAATATTATCTCCCCTCTACACTAATGCCCCATGGGGGCACTGTAGGTATTGTAAATAAATAAATAAATAAACAATATTATTGAGAACAGACAATGATGCTAAAGAAAGTGTAGGTTATGCTAGTAGTAATAATTGTAATGTAAATGCAAAGAAAGGAAAGTGGATGAAAAGATGCCTTCAGGTGGTATGCCACCAGCTACCAGCTCGTAATAAGGAAGCTCGTAGTAAGATCACGTGTTACAGGATGCCAAGAGACAAAAAAACAAGGTTCCGCACTCGCCGAAAAAACTGCTGGTGGGTGGCGCTGAGTGACGTTCCTGCATTTAAATGCACATATACACCCTATAAAATGGACGGAGGGATGACCGCCACCGTAGCTCAGTACTAAGTATCAGATGCATTGTTCGAAAGTCGCAGGTTCAGTCCCTGCCGGTGGCAAGTTATCTTTTAACTTGCTTTTAACTATAGTTACACCAGTCTCGCAGTAAATAGAAATCCGTTAAATGGAACTGCTGCTTAAATAGAACCTCATCTGACAAAATTAGTTTCACTCTTGCATTTTGTACCCTTGTTCATCTTTCAATAAGCGGGACTCTTATTAAACAGAACACATTTTGCTGGTCCCTTCAGGTTCCGTTTAACGAGAGGGTACTGAACTTCTAATAACATCCCCTATAGTACTTTTCTTGGCATCATTGTCTGTTTGTTCTCATTAATTTTGTGCATTTGTGTAACATGGTATGACATCTACTCGCTCTGGTTTAAGAAATGGCTTGCTAAGATATGACAAACTTGCTAAGATATATACGCTCAGACACACCTACACAGGAGAATAGAACACAAACATTTCAAGCTTAACATTTAACTGGCGGAGATTGATCAACCCGATATCTGTGCGTCCGTCCATCAGCTTACATCTGGGTGCTGTCCTGATCACCCTTAACTAGGAATGAACCAAAATTAGTATGGGAGTGAAAGATGGTTTGATGAATATGACGCACTGGCCAAGGCATAAACACTATCACAATGCTGCCGGGTACTCATCAAACAATTTCCACCAGATAGTGGCACATACTCGAGCCACTAATATGTGGGTATGTGCCACAGGTGATTGCAGGTATGTGCTACAGGTCTTTGGATTACACATATGGGTAATTTTAAAGTGTGCGCATTAGAAAAAAGCTAACATCGGCAGCATCATCCCCAAGATTTAAAAGAATAAAAGTCAGAGTCCAGGCAGAAATCGAACTCCAGCATTCCGCGTGGCAATCAAGTATTCTACCACAGAGCCACCCTAAGTCTTGAAAATACTTTTCGAAAGGACACTAACGGTCATGAAACGCCAGTTGTGGTCGCAGCTCTGGCTATCGAATTTTATAAGCTTCACATATGTGCTATGATACAGCCATCACATTAGGCTAAGATCGATTGTCGTTACGTGTATCCGCTGAAGGTGATTTATGTAGTAGCATCCAAAGTTACCATCCTAGCGAGCACAAGTGCTTCATATCAGCATATTGCTTATGGTGTTGCTCATGTTCCTGTTGGCAATGGTGTGCAAGTGCAAACAACTAATTATATAAAGATCTCCAACTGTGCAACATATGTAAGTGCATGCAATGCTTCCACATATATTAATTCATAATGTGTCACCCAGTAAAAAAAATTACAACACGGTCACCTTCGCTTCCCATAACATCGATACCCAAGGTACGCGGGATTTATTGAATTTTTGGAAGCTACAAAAATAGAAGTGGTATTTGTAATATACAAAGATGTTTCAAAGACTAAAACTTCTGCCTACCTACCCTGGTAACATTCCCAAGGTTGCTCACTGAAGACTCCAGAGCTCCTTTCCGGGCCTTCAACACATCCCTACCGACAAAGATACGGAAAAAAAGGTACATATGTCACAATTGGGTCTGCTACAATCAACGCTGGGCTGTGGCCCCTTACACATCAAGGAAGCATTGGGTTCAACCTGCAGACTAACTCAGAGGAAAAAAAAGATTCAGTTTTTCCACATAAGTGTGTCAATACCACCCGTGCACACACCTTGCCAATAAGAAAAACACCTCACATCTCATGAGAAGACGTTTGGTATTTGATAAAAGACATGAAAAAAAAAGAGACCAGTGGCAATGTAGTCATCAAGTTTCAGCTCCAGATTGTCATGACATGATAAATGTTGATTGGGTCTCGTACGACTCTTTGTCAATAAAGAGAGATTCACGCATTTTGTTTTAGAGCAATCACAAACTAAATTTGCAAGTTTTAAGAAGTTCTGCTAGGCCTGTACGGCCAAAACTTTAAAAAGTTATTGTTGATCCTAATTTCATTAGAATTGATATCACGCAAAAGTGAAACGTGTTTTCAGAGAGTAATACAATAATTATATGCCAAGATTTAAATCCCAAAACTACAACATGATTATGAGATACGCCGTAGTGGAGGGCACCGAAAATATGTGCACTGTTTACACAATATGTGCACATTAACGAGCACCGAAATATGTGCTCGTTAATGTGCACTGCCATCACACAGTAAACAGGCCTTCATCAAAATGCGACTGCCGCAGCCGGCATCAAACCCTCTACCTTTGGGTCAGTAGCCAAGTACCCTAACCTCAGTCGATCAGTATCCACCGAGGCAGAGATTTTTGGTATAGTGGTTCAATAAGTATTGTGCCTCAGCAAAAGGATGCAACAACCCTTTGTGATAGCCAAAGTAATTCACATAAGACTTGGCTCAGATTCTGCGGCAGCAAAAAGCTCACAACTTACACATCTAGGCTCGCCATCTTGCAAGTCTTCTGAACGTGTGGCATCCTAGGGGCTATCGTGTAAGTGTTCAAAGAACGGAGGTGTTAACGTAACGAAACGTAACAAGAGCACAAGGGGAAGCAAGCAACCAATAGGCAAGCTGAGGGGATTCGGAAATGTTTTCAGTGCATGAAGAATTATAGAACTGTTACAGCTGAAGATCATTATTTGCTGCAGCTGCATTTTTGCTGCATTATTGCTGCATTTTTGCTGCATAAATGCAGCTGCATTATTTGCTGCAGCTGCATTTATGTGCAGCTGAAGATCAGCTGCAGGCATTATTTTTTAAAGTTGAAAATTGATGAGGGCGATGACTTTAACAATTTATTAGTGGTAATGTCTTGTATGGACGCTAAGCAGTTTCGCATTATGACAAGTCGTTCGGTGGTTGGGAGCCAGCTGCGATTTTCACAAACTATTTGTGTGGGATTGGGGTAAGCCAGACACAAAGCAGGCTAATTCGATTCTCCAGCTTCAGCACTAATGTTTCATTCCAATCCAAGCTGAACGAAGACCATTTTGTATCTGTTCTAAAGAACAGAATGAGGCCTTTGTCCGTTTTATGTCCGTTCTGTATCAAAATGATCGACAGCACTGCAGTTTCCGGCCACTATTCACACGTACGACCAACAGACAAGCTTCAGCAAATATTGTGCACCTTCGTGCCATCTTCTCATGACACTTCTTTCAGTGAAAATGTCCGCTCTGCGACAGAACACTTACAAAAAACCTCTCTGCTAATGTATTGCTTTGCACAAGTACAAGCTATCTGGTCCAGCTCAGTAGCCTTTGGTAGTGTGTTGAGTTGCAATGTGCTCAACTTTGCAAATGTCTAAAACAGATATTGCAGTATGTGCAGCAAATGCACAATGACATTCTGCTTTCCAGTGGCCTGTCTCTTCCATGAAATAAAGTATTAACACAGCAGACTCACAATAATTCTAACTTTCATAATTCATACTTTTGGTTAATTCAAACAAAATTCAATTCTTCGATTGGCTCTCTATTCTCTCAATGTATTTAAAAGCCTCTTGATTCAAACTCCATCATTCGGATAATTCATATTTTTTTCCTTTCTATACCAAAAAATATCTGCTGCTTTCCCCCTACTATTCGAAAATTTGCATGCTCATATTATCCTAACAGTCTAAAAATGAAAAATAAGTGCCTCAGGCCTTCCAAGGCAAAAGGCTTTGCTAGTAAACAAATTATTGAAACGAAGCACACGCATGGTAAACTGCTATGGTTCTCAACTGGCATAGAGAGAGCTTTGTACTGAGGGCACATATAGCAAATAAGCAGTTGGCCATTCACAATTTCTTTAAAAGGTCTGATCAGTAGTAAATGGTCAATAAACTTGTGAATTTTATACCTCTGCTTTCTGTCCATTGCGTGCAGTTAGGTGTTGCAATCGCATCAAAAAAATTTTAATTTGATACAATCAATGCCTAATCATAATATGAGATGTCACCTCACCAGAGTCATATATCTGAGAACTTTTGATAATTCAAACTCCTTGATAATTCAAACAAAATTCAGAGGTCTCTTCAAGTTTGAATTAATGAGAGTCGACTGTCCTATGTTAATGTGGACATTGCACCCAGGATACAGCCAGGGATATTAGGGTCAGCAGTTAAACCCTGTAACCACTGTACCACGAGGCGGATGGTCGCTTGACCAAGGTGTTCAGTTTGAATAGATCTGCCCATTGACGCAGCTGGCTTTCTGTGGTGCCTTGTGCAGTAGTATTGCTATCCGGCTCCACCGCGAAAAAAAGCACAAGATGGTGTGTAAACACTAATGGTGCATGTTGAGCTGGACTCTGTAGGCAACAAGGCATCACTATGGCATCGCAGGCCAATCCAGTGCGAAAGACAAGCCATGTGTAGAAACAGCGTGGTCATTGAAGCAGAAGAGCACCACGATATTGGAGCCTCCTACTTGCTGATGCAACCAAAGTGCTCACTGTCAGCACTCGTGCGATCATGCAGTACTTCACTTTACCACTCCTAGATGGCGGCATCTCTGCCGGCCATAGCCGGGCTAAAAAGCAGACATGGCGTGCAAATAACAGAAGAGGCATAGACTACAGGGTGAATAAAGAAAGTATTTCACTTTGGTCCACTTCGGCAAGTTCTTTAGAAAATGTTGCTCCACACCAGTAAGTCCTTAGTCAGCCTTCTTTTTGGAAGAATATATGCGATCATTGAAATAAAATGGTAAATGAAGGGTTTGACATTGTTGTCTATTTGGCATGTTTACTGGAGGGCTCTTTCTGTTTTCGAAGCCTCGTGTAATGGTACGACAGTTGCACGCATTCTGCCAGACCTGCTCTTATAGCAACGCAAAGCTTTACTTATTCGATTAAGGTCAAGAAAAAAGGTTCAATGCCAGGCCATGGTGGCTGCATTTCGATGGGGTAAAATTGCAAAAACACCTGTGAACTTAAGTTCAGATGCACGTTAAAGAACACCTGGTGGTCTAAGTTAACCTGAATCTCTCACTAGAGCTTGTGTAACATTTATATCATTGTTTTGGCACATAGAACTACAGAATTCAGTTCCACTTTGTCACTTGTTAGTGTATTTTCTTGAGCTTGCAATGACAGCATAACTGCGCTTGCAATTTGAGGTGACGAATTCTCTTCGGCGTTGTACAGAGAGGATAATAGCGGCCACCAATGACCCTGCCCACAGATTGATCATGTTGAATGCAACTCGATAATAATAATAATAATAATAATAATAATAATAATAATAATAATAATAATAATAATAATAATAATAATAATAATAATAATAATGCAATGATGAATGTAGTGGGTCATGCATAGCTCGAAAAACTCATCGTCAGTGCTAAGCACGAGACTCTCGCGCCGGACGTTATCGCTGCTTTTGCTGGCTAGGCCCAGGCTCCTACCTAGTTTCAAATACCAGTTTTGACTGTCCCAGTTCTTTATTATATTTGGTGGAGCTTGCTTGGTCTCCTCACAATCCTGGAGTTGCGAAGCCGGACTCGACCTGCCGCTATGACCACTGCATCTGCCACAAGCCCTCCGCCTATGGCTCCCCAGGCAATCGTGTGCTCCGGTGCGGTCCGTCAGCGGAACCCTCCCATATTCAGCGGCAGAGACGATCACGACGTCGATGACTGGCTGGCTACTTACGAACTCGTGAGTGTCCTGAACAAATGGGACGAAGCCACGAGACTGGCCACCGTCGGCATTTACCTCAGTGGCATTGCCCACTTGTGGCTTCGGAACCATGAAACTGACGTTCCAACCTGGACAGCCTTCAAGACAAAGTTCAGCGAAGTCTTTGGTCGTCCTGCTGTTCGCAAACTTCGTGCGGAGCAGCGCCTTCAGTCAAGATCTCAACTGCCTGATGAGAATTTCACCAGTTATGTAGAAGAAGTCATTGACTTGTGCAAACGCGTCGATGCGAACATGACAGAGGTGGACCGCATCAAGCATATTTTCAAGGGTATCGACGAGGACACATTCCAGATGCTCATTTCAAAAAGCCCGGCTACTGTCGCTCAAGTTACCGAGCTCTGCCAAAACTATGATGAGCTCCGCCGGCAACGTCTCGTCACCCGCCATGCTGTCCCCCATCAGGAATCGATGTCCGGCTTGACTCTCTCGCAAGATCCCGTCTTTCTCTCGCAAATAAAAGATTTTGTACGCGAAGAAGTTGCCCGCCAACTGTCACTCATCTTCGGCCGACCGGAGCGCAGTGCACCGCTTAGCCCTACACTGCAGACAATTATACAAGACCAAGTGTCTGAGGCCCTTCCTCCACAGCTGGTGCCACCAGTCAATGCGCCATTGACGTATGCCGAAGCAGCAGCACGACCACGACCACACACGTTCCGAGCGCCACCTCCACTGCCCGCTCCTGTTTATACCACCCAGCCGCCACGACCTCCAGTCCACCGAGTCCCTAATCCATGGCGCACTGCCGACAACCGACCAATCTGCTTTTCGTGTGGTCTACCCGGACATGTCGCACGTCTTTGCCACCGCAGCCCGCTCCATTCACATGAAAACCCCCG